GGGAAAAGAAATTCTATGTAAGCAATAATAATTTCTAGAATATATGCTCTGTATCATTACAAAAAGGTAAATGGGTTTAATGGTCAATATTTTGTTAATTTTTCTTAATGTGATTTTCTAGAATTCTGTTGTTATAATGAAGGAAAATGATTCATATGTGTGATATATTTTCTTACTTTTTTTTTGTCTTTTTGGGACAGGGTCTCACTATACAGTTCAGACTGGCCTTGAGCTCACTTTGTAGCCCAGGCTAGTCTTGAACTCACAACGATCCTCCTGCCTCAGCCTCCAGAGTGCTGAGATTACAGGCATGCGCCACCACGCCTGGCTATATTTTCTTACTTTGACTGAAAAAAATACCTATTCTTTTTCTCTCCTCAATTGTTATTTGTCATTACTGGCTGTCACTCTAAAGGTTACTTCCTTGAGGGAGGAATGTGGGAAGTAAAATAGTTCTTCCTTAAACATGTTATATTCTGTCTTCTTATATTCACACATACATTGTAGTGACCCTACCACTTATAATTCATAGATCAGCAAGAATTTTTTCCATTCCTTCTCCAAAAGTCTCTGTAACATCACATTAATATACAGCAGGCCAGTTCCCTTAATTTTAAGGCCATTTTGCATTATGTGGATTCATTATTTCTAATTAGATTCTTCCTGGATGATATGTTAAAATTTGTATGCAGTGCACACATATATACATACATATGTGTTTTTTCCCACACAACACACACAAAACAGAAGACTTGGTTGATAACTCAGTGTGCAAACAAACCATATAATCAATGTACACAGCCGCAGAAAACCCTTTGGTTTAAATGATCAGTTAAAATACAGGCCTTCAGTTATGCTGGCTAGACTCTGCTGGGTTTTCTTCAGTGTTGATCTACTTCTTCCTGGTGTGTAACATTTTGAATATACTGTACTTCTTTTTTAATGCCCAAAATTCATCAACTATAACATGGAGCCAGTAATAATAACCTACCTCCCAAGGTAATGAATAGTTATTTCATGGAAACTGCTTACATAAAATTGTAAGGGATGTTTATGATTAGCTATTATTTTTAATGATTGAAAGTGCAGTATGACAGATTTTTACCCATGTATCATATCTTCCATAAAATAAAACATGAGTTCTGTAAATGTGGAAACTGCAGTAACAGAAGTCCAAATTCATCTTGCACCTCCAAAATGATAGTTCATTCCTTTTCAGTCTACCAAGGCAATTAATGTTATACAAAATATAAGAGATTTAGAGCAAAGGGAGACCTAACTTAGTGTGCATACATTTAGAATTATTTTACCTTTCTTTATCCATTAAGCATGGGGTTTGCTGTCAGAGAAACTATATTCCAATTCTCACCTTGTTTCTCATTGATCATAAAGTCTAGAATTAGTTTGGTTAATTCTCTAAAATTCTCTTTTTTCCTGTGTCATGTGGAGCTGATGATCATCTTTTTTATTTCCATGTTCTTCCAAGCCTCAAGCAAGGTTACTTGGTCTGAGTGGGCCTCCCTTTGTCTATTCCTGGACTGGGGCCATGTCGGCCCACTGTCCTCTAGTGTAATAATTATCCATGACGTTTGTTTGCTTATTCATCTTTCTCAGTAAACTGTCTGTCAATAGTTGAGGTCATCACTGTCTTGTTCGCATTTGTGGTATACTTATGGTGACCTAATTGTTCAATTAAATCCTTACACATAAGAAATCAGTCACAATAGCCGTCCAGCTTGGACTCACTACATTGGCAGCTTTATTCACGTGATGCAGAGGTTAATACTCTGTATTGAAAAAATGATGTTTTATATCAGCCTAGAAATTTACCTGCCATATGTAAACAAGATCTTCAAAGACTAAGTCAGGCAAAACAGGATTATCTAGGTGTGGTTTCATACTATTTACTATTTTCTCCTCTGTGTATATATTATGAATATGGCAGCATTGTGTGTGGCGGGGGTCCCATGAAGCGAAGTACATCAGCTTATGGGTATTAGACCATTGTCAGAGATCTGTGCCCATTTACTTACTATTCACTCCATCTATTGCTTAATAGCATATTTGCCCTTTAGAAATGTAATTACGTAGACACTAATTAGCAGACTACTGCAGTTATTCAAGGGACAGAAAAGATAAAAAGGGCTCTGACAGAGCTGTAAATATGAAGCTTAAAGCATGGAGTGAAGAGCTCTAAATACAAGAATCAGAAGGCTTTTGAGACTGTAAAACATGTAATTGTAAAAATAAACGAATCAACAGTGAGAAGCAGGTTTCTGGCTTAGCAGCTGAAGTGGAGGACAATTTTAATACTGAGGAGATGGTTCCATTTTGTTTATTTCCTTTATCTACTTATTTTCTTTAGATTGAAAGATATCATTTTCAAGTTTTGAATGTGTTGACTTTGAAATTCTAGTGAGCCCCTAGATTGAAAATCAGTTGTTGAAAACTGATCTCAATGTCAGGAGACCATTACTTTACCAGTGAGGGCAGGCAGCGTGTAGCTGAGCCATGTGTGAGTGTGTGTGATATCACACAGAGACCTCATTCATTCAGAGAAGACACAAAGAAAATCCTGGGAAACACCAGTGTCCTTTAAAGGAGTTTATAGCTGTCTTCTTCATTCTCCACAGTGAAGGATCAAGAGTGGAGCTGAGTGTGCAGTTGACATAAATCCACTATTTGAAGGGTTTGATAATTAGTAGAAATTTGATATGACACATAGAACTCCTCTGGTAATAGAGCCTAAATTGGATTTAGGGGTACAGGGGATTTGAGGACACATGCACCGTAGACTACTCATAAATGAAATCTGGCATTGAAGGGAAGAATAACAATAAGCAGCAGATAGAGGCAGCTGCAGGAAGAATAAAGGATGTAGAATATTTTCTTCCTTTTTATGCTAAAAGGTGCATGAACATTTTTGTGGTTTAAGAGGTAGGAACCTGTAATGAGGAAGGCTATTGGAGAAATAGATGCTTATTGAAGATTCTTATTCCTAAGGAAATTGGAAAAAGTGGAATTAAATATCTGGGTGGTATTACTCTTCTGGTAGCATTAGCCTTGTATCAAAGGAAGAAATGTCTTTTATCTGAATTTGAAAGGAAAGAGAGATACTTAAGGATTTAGATATGGGTTTAGTGCACTGAAAAACATTATATCAGTAAGGTTATGATTATAAAGAATATTAGCTTTTTTTGAAAAATGTGTTATCAGTTTTATCCACCTTTAAAAATGATTGTGTGTCTTTTCAAACACTGAAAACTTCAGGAAGCTCTTTCTTCTCAATAACTAAAAGTACATTTAATAGCACAGCATATCTATTTTATGGTCAAATTAATTTTTGCTCTAAGTTTTTCATAGGAAGGTACATTTATGCTATAGAAAGGGGATCTTAATGTGTTTGGGAATCAATTCTATGATCTAGTCAAATGGCATTTTAACAAATACTCGAAATAATGAGATTAATATATACTGTGATATGTAGGAGCATTCTTTAACTTCAAAATGATTTTCTTCAAGTATTTTTCCGAGTGTTTATTGAATAATAAATTGGGGTTTTTCTTAAAGAATTCTGTGAAGCAGATGTCAGATGCTATAACAAAATCCTTGAGGCTGGATAATTTACAGAGCTGAGCAGTTTCTTTAGCTTATAATTCTGGGGATTCAGTATCCAAACCTGGCACCAGATCTGGCTAGTGTCACTCTGGCTGTCTCACAGCATGGTGTATGGTGTCATAATTGTGGGACACAAGAGAGGGAGTGATTAATTGGTGTGACAAGAAGCCAGAAAATGGAGAGGGGCCAGCTTTGCCCCTTACAGTGGCTCACTGTGGTGAGCACTCAGACCAGGAGACCAGCATTAATTCCTTTGGAGGGCAATGCCTTCATGACCTAAGTGCACCCCTAGTTCTACCTCTGAAAAGAGTCATCACCTTCTACCTTTGTCTCACTGAGAACCAACTTCCATTATATTCAGATTGCATTTGATCACTGCAGTGGTTAACAAAATGCCACTTTATCATCATTCTCCTCTTTTCCTAGACTTCCACTTTACCGCTCGTTGGAAGACCTCAGCAGCTGCCAAGCAAAATCTGCAATTTACAATAATAACAGCCGTACTCAGGCCCAATAGATGTGCAGTGCAGTATGTCTGCAAGATGCTGGTTACAATTAAATGGGATGGGGCAGAGAACTCCCTGAGAGCTTGTCCATCTCAGTTCAGTTCCCTGACATCTTATTTTTATAGAGAGAATTGTAATTGATTTTCATTTAGGTTATGAGCATAGGATCTGGAATGATAGGATTAATGCATGTGGATCCTGCTTAACAAAACCCTCCTGGAAAGGCCTATTGACTCTGAAAGTCTGTGGACAAAGATGTGTTTCAGAACAGTGAATTGCAAGTTGCATAGTTTTCTGAAATCCAAGTTATTTCCTTGCTAAATCAAAATAGTAATGTGCGTAGCCTTCCGTCCTTTTCTTTGTCTCTTTAGCATCTGATTAAATTTTGGCTTTCTCTTTGTTGTTGACCTAGACTGCCTTATGCCTTTCAGGGAGGCATAGACAAATATTTCCCAAGCAGCAGCTAGTGAAGGAGACATCTCAGGTTTCCATATATATGTATATATCACTGCTGTGGACAGCTTTCCTTTGTGAAGTGCTGAGAAAATGTGCATGATCCTAGAAGAAATCCAGGTGCTCAGTAATTCTAGCGGGAGGGTAAAAGACGACTAGAAAGGGGAAAGTTCAGTGATTGTAGAAGGCTTTTGAAAATACCTTTTAATGCTTTCTAATGGAACATAAATGCAACTGATACTTAGCCTGTGTTTTCCCTCCTGAGGAATCATTTCCTTTTATTTAGATTTTACTTTTATTTTACCAGGTCATCATTTTTATTGCTCTGCTAACCATTTTTATTTTTGGAATATAAAAATAGAAACTCGTGGTTTTAGGTATAGTAACACAGTCCTGTCTCCAAATTTCTGTTTCCCCCTGCAGAGGGTTGCTTCTCCAGGAAAACAGCAGGTTTGCCGAAGCCCTCCATTATTATAAACTGGCCATCGGGAGCAGGCCCACCCTGGCTTGTAAGTAATCAACTTTGTTGTTTTTTTTTTTAATGCTTCTTTCCATCCGTGAAAATTATCTTTGTGACTTACAGCCTCACAGAGAAAACACTTAGTGCTTCTATTTCTGAATACTTGCTGATCAAGGGACATACCTCTAATGATGATATTCCTCTCAATTTCGTTCTGAGCTCTAATTATATTTTTAAAAATATTATGATAGTGATAACTTACACTCAACTAGATTTTAAGCTCAAAAATATTTGGAGGTATGAAGGCAGAGACTAGTTCAAATACAAATATCCATTTTCTTTGTACTTGTCTGTTTTGGTGAGACTTGTAGTTCTTTCTGCCATTATTGGTCATGTGAGTATTTGTTTTGGAAATATTGATGTTTTATAATTGGAAATAATCTAGAAGCTAAACTCAGCCAAAGGTAACTCCTTTTTTATTTATAGACTGTGTCATGCTCTCACACTTTGTTTCTTCTCTTTACCTTCAGCTGCATATTTAAATACTGGCATTATTCTAATGAACCAAGGAAAGACAGAAGAAGCCCGGCGGACGTTCCTGAAGTGTTCTGAGATTCCAGATGAAAACCTGAAGGACCCTCATGCACACAAGAGCTCTGTCACCAGCTGCCTGTACAATCTGGGGAAACTCTGTCACGAGCAGGGACAGTATGAGGTCTGCCTGCAGCTTCGCTCTGCTTTTCTTTCCCTTCATCCAGTCAGGTCTTGATGTTTTCTAACCCACAACATCCTTTCAGAGCCACTACCTTCCATCGAAAAATTAATATGTGTTCATATTAAAAGGGTTTTATGATCAAATTTGTTTATAAAAACCCCTGCAAGTAACAAGTCAATGTATTTCTTCCCTGTGAGTACGCAGAGCAGTTATAGTACAGCATGTGAACATGCATTGTGACTCTGCAAAAAGGCCAGTAACATGCAGTGTTTCTCCAATGTATTTGCTCACTAGTGATTCCATTATCCAAGACACAGTTTTCTAGAACTGCTTCCCTATACCCAGTATTTGCTGTTTTTAAAATATAAATTGTTAGTATTTTGAGTGTTAAGAAAATGATTAGATGTAAACTTTATTCCCCTTAGATCTTTAAAAAACTTCATAATGAGAATATTATTTCTGATTGAAGGATGCGGTAGTAGAATGCTATTAAGCATGTGAGGAGGTGACCCAGACTTCCCCTTGCTCATGGGATGCATCTCTGCCTGTGATCCTTATAAGATGTTGTTGAAAAATACAGTGAATGTTACATTTTAAATATATATATATTGCGGTAACATGCACATTGCCATTAATCCTCTGAAAATACCCCCCTTGGAATACACCGGTCCCATCATTCTGGCCCCTTTCTGAACCAGCTCTGGAAGTCTTCTTTTCTGTCTTTGGCTGCAGCATTGTGGCTGAGTCCATGTCATTAATGGATCAAAACCCTTACCTTGTGTGGTTTTTTTGACTTAGGGGAAAGCTAGAAGTGGCACGGTTCCATATCCATCAAACGAGGTAAATGAGGGCATCCCATAATTTTTTAGGAGCCTGCTTTTCTGTTGGATGGCATACAGTAGTAGCACTGTATTTTTGATAACAGCTGGTAAAGACAACTCTGAGAACTGCTTCATAAAGTGGCCAGAATGAGGGGATAAGTGGGGTGAAAGCAAGAGGGAGTATTTTCAGGGAAGTTAACAACATGTGTTCTATTTTAATACCTTTTTAAAAACAATTTAAATACTCATCACATATTTTGATCACACCATGTATTTCCTCTCTCTTTCCTTCAAATTGTCTGCTTTTTGCCCATCCCATACTCTTATACAGTGTATTAAGTCTGCAGTATAGAAGAAAGATAAAGTATTTTAAATAATTGCATTTACCAATATTAGTGTGTCTCAGTAGCTAGAAGTTTTATTTAGATTAAAGTGGTTTGCTTGAATTAACATGTCTATAGAATTTAGGTGACTAATGACTAACTTTCAAGTATGAAATTTCTTTCCGCTTTGTTCTTGGCTGACCTGTGTAAAACAGGAAAATTTATAGTAAAAGACCTTTGCTAACATTCGACTTCTTGTTAAACTAAATTTATATATGACATTCTTCACTGGGATAAGCATTTTCCTTTGTGAAATTAAAGTAGCATAATATCAAAGGGCAGTTCAATTATTTTCCTCTAGTGAACCATTTAGAAATAGCAACGGATAGTTTTAACTCGGAGGAATGTTATTATCTCATTTTCCATGAATATTGCTGTACTTTAATGATGATGTATCTTTTTGTTTTGTTTTTGTTTCTTACATTAGGAAGCCCTGACTGTGTACAAGGAAGCAATTCAGAAAATGCCCAGACAGTTTGCCCCGCAGAGCTTGTACAACATGATGGGTAAGTAAAACATTAACATTTGAATTCATAATTCAGGCACTGTGGATAAATTAGAACGTATGCTTGAGTTAAATGCAATTGTAACGAGTCCTGTTAGTGGTACCTACAAAGAAATCTTGTTCATGATAGTGTCACTTTCATATCCTCATGGCACATTTGTTTTGACATGAGCAAATAAATTCACTATAGTGGTTCCCTACACATTGGGAAGGTCCCACAATTGTTGAACACGAAGCTTTCAAAGCCATTTGGGTCCCTAAGCATTAGCTAGACTCTAGAGAATGAAAACATAATGTTTTGTATATGTGTATCATTTTTCAGTTATGTTTAGTGATGAATATTCACTTCAATGAATTTATCAAATTCACATCATCTTTGATTTTCTTAGTTTCGTAAGAGTCTCAAAGGTAAACCTGCAATCATATAGAGGTTCACAAACTTCCATCCATATAAAAGATGACAATAACTGAGACAATTTGTATTGTTGTTCGTTAATTAGGCCTTGAATCTCAGTAGATATTTTCAGTGTAATATTTTAAAGTGAAACAAGACTAAATATGGTAAATGTGTTTTAATAATTAGCTTAATGTCCTTATCAGTCAGCCAATATATGAATGGAATAAATATATAAATGTAGGGCATGGATTTTTCTAGGAATAAGAGGTAAAGAACGTGAAATTCTAACAGAATACCTATCTTCTGTGAATGATCTCATACTGTTTTGTAGGAGATTGTTACTACAGCTGTCTGATGGTGTTCACAACTGAAAACCACCTCTTCAGGATGGAACTTTTGCGAACGCATCTGACCATAAGATGCCTTGTTGATGAGTTTGCATGACTGTTTCCAGATAACAGAGAGAAGGGGTTGCTTTTGTTCTCAAAGCAAATATTGCTGTTTTTCAAAATGAAAATTGCAATCTCAGATCTTCCCTTTTTATTAAACCTAGTTATTTTTTTAAGTATTTCTAGGTCTCCCTTATGCTTATAAAATACATGAAATTAGACTGTGTGATCTCCAGGATTATATTAATGTTTCTGAAACCTGTGATTTGAGAAACATCATAGTATCTATATGACTTTTGCACATCCAAAGCTTCCTAATCCCTACCGGACTAGAAAAACATACACCGGACTAGAAAAACATACACCTATGAGAACATTTACTTCCTTTTTTCTAAATGACCGTAAGTCTAGAAATATTCAGAGATAGAATAGTAGAATGGGGCATAATGTTCCTTTTTTCTGTTTTCTTTTTTTTTCTTCATTAAATGAAGAGAAATAAAAAGCAATTACAATTTGGAAATCCATTTGATCTTTCTGGGTCAAATGGATTCTCCCATCCCCAGTTTGCCTGTTTAGCAATAGAGTGATTTAATGCTCACATTAAAGAAGATAGTGGGTATTATTTTTAGTATATTTTCATCTTTGATATAATTACATAAGGCGAAGTCTAGCCTTGTTATATGCAAGTACCCATTTTTCTCATGTCTCCCACATTTACCCGTTCAGGCCCACTACCCCTAATTTTACTGTCTAACATTGTACCATTTGACTGTCTAAATGAATGAAATATACATGTGCAAAAAACATATGCCTGTAATGTGTAGCTCTATCAGTGGAGTTAACCTTTCTATTTTAATGCTGGATATATTTCACATCAAACTAAGTACTAAAGAGACTGCTTCCTCTGCCTTTGCCTAAGGAGGTGCAGTGTTTTTCATTTTATGATTTTATTCCAGATTCTAGTGCTTGGGAAGACCTTGTTCCCATTTTCCTCAATCATCAAGCAAGACATCTTTCTTTATATCAGGATTCAAGGTCTTGGCAGCAGACTGCATGTGCTCTCTTTATTGCTAATGGGAAGTGGTGTGTACACTACAGTTAGTGATTTCAGAGAATTCATTCATTCAATTACTGTAGATAAATTACACCAACAATTCAGCTGGCACCTTGGGATCTGTCTCTCACATGGCTACACAAATGCTAAGCACACACAGGCAGCAAAAGATAAGTGTGTCCCTAGGGCTTCTTGCTTATTCCTTTGTCTTATTTTCCATTATAGAAGGAGATGATGGCTTTGCCCATACTGAAAAGCAGTGTAACAATTTCCTACAGGAAGGTCCTAATATTTAAGATTTCTCCTATAATTATGGCCATTGCCTTCTATTTAATTTTATGTGAAGATTTGTCAGCTGATTAGGTTTTATAGTTTCAGTTGTTCAAGAAACTATAATTTTCTCAGAGACTGAGTTCACCTTCTAATCAAATGGGTTAAATCTCCTGAGTGTTTGCTTTAACTCCTAATACATTTTGATTAGCCTCCATTTGACAGGGAAAAAATGGCCTAGGAGATAAGCTGCCCTATCAGTTCATCAGTTTCATTAGTCTGTCAGCATGTGCTGATTATCCTATCAAGTTTATCAACAGCCCGGAATGTGTTTTCTAATTCACACATTTACATATTGTTAGTGCCCTTTAGGGATCAGTGATGGATTATAATGTCTGGCTAGATTTACTCTGTAAGTACTCATTTTTCTCATATCTCCCTCATTTACCCCTTCAGGCCCACTACCCCTAAGCAATTGTGCATCTGGATGTATATATTTCTCATTCTATTTTCCTTTCTTTGATGGTTAGAAATAGAGCAGTATACATGAAAATATATATTTACATTTGAATGTTATTATTAGCTTCATAACTAAATTTGCTGAATTTGCTTTTTAAAAACACTTCAGTCCTTGGCATTTTCCTTATGAAAATTTTATGAATTTACATGACTGTGGTCCACTCAAGTTCATTTGTTTGGACCACCAACAGAGCATATTTTTCCTATTAGGGTATAAATAGAAAATAAGTTCAATTAATGTACTTCACAACTTAAATTTTCTGTATTTTTTTAAAAGATTGTTAAGTTAGTCTTTTTGTAGTAGGCCAAAGGTAATATTGAAAGAATATTTAAAACTAGAGCCTTTGGCTATAGTCTTTGGCTCCATAAGACTAAAATGTTAGAGTAAAAATAATTGAATATCTTCCCTCCCGGAAGTAGGTGAACTGCATAGGCATAACACAAATAGGCAGCTAAATATTATTTTATAAATAAATACTAAACTTCCACCAAAGTCCTTGTAATTATTAAGGAATGAGGATACGTGAAACATCAAAAGACCAACTTACCAAGTAAGCTGACTTTAACTCTGTGGGCCTTTTTCCTCTTGAGAGATCCATTTTGGATTAGTTCAGTATTTTATAATATCTGGAGTCAGACACCAGAGGTTCAGTTTACATCTTTGACATATTCTAGCTTTTCATGTTCCTGGGCAAACTACTTAATGGAAGCCTCAGGCCCTAGTTTCCCTGTCTATAAGATATCGATAGCAACATCTGTTTGGAAATTGATTAAAAATTAAAATAATGATGGTAAAAAAGCTTTGCTCAGTGTTTTATAACATGACCTTCCATTATAATGTCCCTCACTCTCTGGGGCTTTATGCTCAAAAATTGATGATGGTATTGCCTGTCTGTTCTTTTTGTATATAGCACTAAGATTATTTTTGTCATGCTGATGACCGGCTTTGCATTCTCACTAGAGATTCTATTTAGTTCCATCTTGTCCAGAACTGTTGTAGGTTCTTCCACAGATTGTTTCCTCATTTCTCTCACCAATCACTGCCAGAATTCTTTTATCAGTAATTAACCAAAAGTGAAATACCGTGTTCACTTTATGTCAGTTAATCTGATTTCATTAACAGAATACTCCTTCTAAATAAAATTGTCACATTAGGATATTTTCTTCTCCTTTTGCTGTCATGAAATATTTTTCCTCTAGTGTTAGTCAAAATTACTCTTTCCTGTGATAACCATTTTGTTTATAGGATTTCAGTTTCTTTTCTTTTCCTGTCCAACCTTAGGTGTTTTTTGATCAGGGAATATTAGAAATAGAAGATTCATTTCTTAAAAATTCTCCTACTCTGTTTTCCAAGATAATAATTTAATACCCTCCAAACTGTGTTTATCTGTTCAGGATTACAGTTTGTATTAGGGTCAGAAATGCAGTTTCCTGACTTTAATTCAATTATTGTTTTCTGTTTAGACTTTCTGTGCTACAGAAACTTCATGTTCTACAATATAACAAAATAACTTTCCTTTACGAATTTAATATTCTGCAAAATTAAATAAATAAATAAAAAGCCCTGGAGTTTTAACTATTTAAAAAATCCACAAAACTGTGGTTTTATCACAAATGCCTTAAATATGCAGTTTAGTAAAATTTTCAGTGCAGGATAATTTTTGAACACCTTTGATATATCTTTTTCTGTATACTTGCTTATTTCCCTTGTTATTGTTACTTCAGTATTGCTCTTGTATGATCCTAAAGGACTACAGGGAACTACATAGGCTGTGACTGCCAATTATTTTCAGCATTTTGAGCTCTTCCAATCCCAAAGGTCATTTTAAGCCTATTTACTACTTAAAATTACTCAGCTTTTTCATTACAATATAATTGTTGGGTTGAATTATACAAGTGATTTAGGCCATTTCATCTTGGTAATATATCTTGAGAACAAAGCAGAATAATCTGTTGCATAGAATGAGAGAGAACCTAAGGTCAGTGTCTCATCATTGCAGTCTATAGTCATGGCTCAGAATAACTTCTTGGTACAAAAATATTGTTTTCTGAAGTCTCAAATGCTGAGTATGAGGATAAGAGAGATGGTACTGGCATGAAATGTAAATAGTCGATATGGTTCCTGCTCTCATAGAATTCCTAGGAGATTTCACAGTTGATCCAGAGTTCTTTCATTCTCTCCTTAATGAGGATATACCCATAAATAAAATAGAACACGAATATTCTCTAACCTTGATAATATTTTGTCTGTAATTGTGTCGACTGTGCTATACAGTCTGAACCAAACAAAATAAGTGCAAGCAACTCAGGATTTATAATTTTGAGTTGATACTACTACCATGATTGGCGTGTGTACTCCTAGTTTCCCGTTC